GGCTAACTCGGTGAGTCCAGTCCCTGACTCGGCGAGTCCTGGGGTCAGACAGAGGATATTTCGGAATTTTGATCTATTTTGTTGTGGGATAATTACAAAAAACGTTTTTCATTAATAAAATCCGAATTTTATCAATATTTGATGGTTATCCTTACCAAAATAGAAGATAATTGTTAAAATTTAGATAATTACTAGTTTTTTAAGATAAATATTAATTATTTGTAATTTTGTTTTGAATTATCTAGTAAGAAATTGAATTAGGTCAAATTTAGATAATTACCAATTATTGATTAATTTTAATTATTTGTAATTTGATCTAGATAGTTTTGAAAAGTTTCAAAACTTGCCCTCAAGTTTTGGAATTTAAATTTTTGATTAAAAGTTTAATTTTGAAATATTTAAATTCTAAACCCTGATGTTTTGAAAAGTTTCAAAACTTTCCCTCAAGTTTTGGAATTTAAATTTTTGATTAAAAGTTTAATTTTGAATATCTAAATTCTAAACCCTAATGTTTTGAAATGTTTCAAAACTTTCCCTCAAGTTTTGGAATTAAAATTTTTTGATTAAAAGGTTAATTTTTTGAAATTTTAAATTTTAAAACCCTAGTTTTGAAAAGTTCAAATTACACCCTTATGTTGAGGAGCTCCACTGCCTCTAGTGCGAGAAAACCAAATGTATCGAATGCAAAAGGTATAAACACATGTTGATTTTCTATACATGCATTCTCGTGCTTTACCACTTTGCACGCAGCGACTTTCAAAGCGGCATGCCCTGCTGTGAAACCCCGGCTCCCCAAACCAACGAGAGGAGAGACCCCAGTAAGATCCACGCACACATGCTTCCCTCCTATCCATCCACAGACCAAAATGTCAGCCGGTCTAAGTGTGGACCTTCCATCCTGCGGGTCCGTCAAAAAGTTCACTGACGCTTCTTTCTTCGCAGAAATACCAGCACGCCGACAAGCATCAAAGAGAACATCCCGAACCACATCATGTATGTACTTGAAACCAAGGAGCTCTCTATAATGAACCGCATGTTCCACAAAGGTATCCAAACATGCCTTGCGGCAAACTGGGCATATGTCGTCAATTGGGAATAGGGGAATAATGAGGAGGTAACGAAGGATAGTTCGGTACTCCACAGGAGACATATACTGGCCAAGACCATCAATAGGGATAGTTAGCAGAAAATCCTGAGCATGAGGTTGGATTGGGTTGGACCTCATTCCCAAATGGGGATAAGCGAGAAGCCGCTTTGCAGGGTAGACTCACTTCTACCCATTTAAATAAAAAGGTTGGGTTGGGTTGAAATCTTCAACCCAAATAATAAATGTGTTGAACCCGAACTCTACCCAGATCGACCCATTATCGGCTCTACCCAGGGACGGAGCTAATTAAATGCAAGAGTGGGCCATGACCCACCCTACATAACTTGAGTATATATATATATATATATATATATATATATATATATATATATATATATATATATATATATATATAATTTTTTTTAATGAAAGCAAATTTTGGGCTACAGTGGCCCACCCACCCTCTGCAACTTTTAAGTTTCTTTAGTTTTTTTTTCTTTTTTTTAATTGAGGAGCAAATTCTCATTACATTAGGGAAACCCTTTTTGCCGGCATCTCAATTTCGTCGTTTCAGTTTTTTATAGCAATAAAACGCAATTCTCCATTGTGTCACAGGTTTGTATTTTTTTTTTATCTTAATTAATCAATTTGTTTTATTTATATCGTATATAATTTATAATTGACTTAGTTCTGACCAATTTAACATTGAGGTTTGTATTGATTTTACATTTTTATCGTATATTCGTATGTTTTTTTATAAATTAGGTTGTTAATTGTTGCTATGAAATAGTTATATGAATAATTGTATTATGTGTTATTGTATTACATATAAGTTTGCTTTGTATACAAATATAAGATTATGTTTGTAATTGAATTTTTTTGTGATTAGTGAATTTCGTTGAACAATGGGAAAAAAGCAACAAATATTGGATTCATTTTTCATGCGTAATGTTTTACCAAGAGACGAAGAAAAAAACACGTCATCATCATCATTACCGGTTGAGAAACCTCAATCACCTCAAGAAGATGATAACCCTCTACCATCTTCAATAGCTAAGATCCCTACACCATTTTCAACGGTTGAGAATCCTACCTTTTGTTCTATTGAACATGATCCTGGCCTACGTCTACCTATATGGAAATATGCAGCCAATATGAAGGATGAAATTAGATGAGGATACTTAAGATCGGGGCCACATCAACCTGTATTGCCTAAATATCCTCCATCTGGGTCAAAAAGTCATCCACGACGTTTTTAATCTAAATGGTATTCCGACTTTCCTTGGCTTGAGTACTCTAAAACTAAAGATAGAGCATATTGTTTTTATTGCTATATTTTTCTTGAAGAATCAAATACCCATAATGGTCATGATGCATTTACAACCAATGGTTTTAAAAACTGGAACAAAGTTAAAGGGAAACATTGTTCATTTTTGAAACACATTGGAGATATACCAAACTCTCGGCATTATAATGTTGTGCGGTTTTGTGATACGTTGATGAATCAATCAGTACATATTGATAAAGTGATGCAAAAACAGTCTGCTGATCAAATTGAAAAGAATAGGCTAAGGGTGAAAACATCAATAGATGTTGTTCGTTTTCTTTAATATCAGGGGATTTCTTTTAAGGGGCATGATGAGAAGATTGATTCAAAAAATCGTGGTAACTTCATTGAGTTAATCAAGCACACAGCTTCTTACAATGAAGAAGTTGCAGGTGTCGTTTTAGAAAATATGCACCCGACAACGCGAAATACACTTCACCTGATGTTCAGAAAGAAATTTTACATGTTTTTGCTGAGAAAGTACGAAAAAAGATAGTTGAAGATATTTGTGATTCTAAATACTGCATAATCGTGGATGAGGCAAGTGATGAAAGTAAGAAAGAACAAATGGCCATTGTTCTTAGATATGTTGACAAGAAAGGTTACATACAAGAACGGTTTTTTGATCTTGTCCACGTCAAAGATACATCATCTTCCACTTTGTATTCTTCAATATGTGAAACTCTTACTTCTTACGAGCTTGTTGTTGAGAATCTTCGTGGACAGGGGTATGATGGAGCTAGCAACATGTGTGGTGAATGGAAGGGATTACAAGCATTATTCCTTAAGGATTATCCATGTGCTTATTATATACATTGTATGGCTTATCGGTTACAACTTGCGTTGGTTGCCGCAGCTAGAGAAGTAAGCTCTGTACATAAATTTTTCCAAAATTTATCTTTCATTGTGAATGTCATAGGTACTTCTTGTAAACGCCAAGATGAGCTACAAGCTGCTGAAATTGCAGAATTGTTAGAATCTGGTGAAATAAATACATGTAAAGGGGCTAATCAAATTGGTACTTTAAAGCGTGCCAGAGACACTCGTTGGAGCTCACATTTTACTTCTATTAGCAGTCTTCTTCGGATGTATAATCCAACTTGTACGGTTTTGGAAAACATATAAAAAGCAGGCTCTAATTATAAAACAAAAGGTGATCCTAGTATCGTGTTAAAAAGAATGACATTTTTTGAATTTGTGTTCATTTTACATATGATGAAACAAATTTTGGGAATTATTGATACTCTTTGTCAAGCTTTACAACAAAAATCTCAAGACATCATAAGTGCAATCACAATTGTCTCCCACACAAAGAAACTGATTGAAATCCTTAGAGATAATGAATGGGCAACTTTTCTTGATGATGTCATTGAGTTTTGTAAGAAGCATGATATTGATATTCCTGAATTCAAAGATCCTGATTTTGAAGGGAGAAGCAACAGGAAGGGAGGTCATATTACTATTGAGCATCACTATCATTTTGATATATTTAATGAAACTATTGATTTTCAGTTATAGGAAATTGATACAAGGTTCAATGAAAGAGTTGTAGAGCTTTTAGAACTTAGTCTTGCTTTAGATCCAAAGGAGGGATATAAACGCTTCAACTCTGATTCTATTTGCAAACTTGCAAAAAAATATTATTATCTTGATTTCACAGAACAGGAAATAGATGTTCTAAAATTACAGTTGAAGCACTTTGAAGCTTATGTGAAGGACCATCCATTTTTTAGGAAAGTTGTCATCTATTGTTGAAGTATGTCAAGGCTTGGTAGAGACAGGGAAAGCAAGTCATTACTATCTTGTTGACAGATTGATTCGGCTTGTGTTGACTCTTTCGGTGTCTACTGCGACTACTGAGCGTGCATTTTCCGCCATGAAAATTGTGAAGAATAGACTACGTAACAAGATGGATGATGATTTTATTGCTGATAGTCTAGTCCTTTACATCGAGAAAGATATCGCTAAGATTTTTAGTTTAGACTCTATTTTAGATGATTTTAATGATGTAAGAGAACGTCGTGTGCAACTAAAATGAACAATTTACTTTAAAAATGTGTATATTGTTTCATTTTATTATCTTTTAACGTATTTTGCTACTAGTTTATATTTTTTAAATTATTTGGCATACCATAAAACAAAAATTTGGCTACTACCTCACTTACTTCCAAAATAACTAGAGTAAGTAAGGGTTGAATTAATGAACGAGGAGTTTGTCATCAAACTTGAAATAGTAAATGGAAAAGATCTTTAAACTTTATTTATTAAAGTGAAAATCTCAATGAGAAAAGTATACATCCACTTCACTTGTCCGACAATTCGATTCACATATTTTCTTCCTTAAAATCATAATTCAATAGATGAAATTAGGGTTTATTATCATATGCATTTATCCAAGTAACAATTTGGTTTTGCCTTGTTTATTGTATCTCAATTAAATTCTGCAATATATAATAATTAATGCTATTTTTAACATGGTTCTAAAATGGACTAAAGTATAGTTATAGGAAAATTAAAGATTTGAAGCAGCATATACTATATCAGGAATATTATACGATTAAATGCATATTGCAAATCATACAACATACAGTTTCCTAAAAAGTTCACGCGAGTGCACAATCAATCGATCATTAAGTGTTAATTTGGTTTGAAGAATTTCAGCTTAAGTCCGCTATTGACCATGCTCCATATTCCACCTATCGAAAACGCTAAACTGAATGCTATACCAAGCCATCCAAGTGTCCAATTGAAGTACCAGTTGAAGCTATATTTTGCAGGCTTCTTGATAAGAACCCACATGAAACATGGGTATGCAAATGTGACTGGTAGGGTTAACCCTCCTAGCAAACCGGCAATACTGGAAAGGAAGGGCAATGCTACACCAATGAAAAAGTTAATAAACCCATAAACGACTCTAAAACCAGACCGGACCCACACAGAGCATGGCCGGTTTGTGCGGCTCGTGTAGCTGGCTTCAAAACTATCAAACACTGGCATCGAGTATATCTGAAACCCACTTAAGCAGCTGAAAACGACTAGTAAGAACGTCATTGCAAGCAACCCTCTTGAAATATCATGACTGTGGAATACGAATAGCGCATTCAGAATCCCTCCCGATGGCATCTATATAAAAAGAAAAGCATATTTTCAGCGTTGTTATTCTTTTGACAAATTAGATAAACCCAAATTCTATAAACTTACAAGGTTTCCATAAGCCCAATAACCTCCGATAGCCACAGGGAACAGACACATTGCAATGAAGAAGTATGCAGCCTTGGCTCCTTTCCACATTGGCACATGAGCTGGATGTTTGAAAGTTGATGGCATCGTAGACTAAAAGGTTACCATTATAAAGTCAATGTTATTAACTTCATATCTTTAAGCTTACAAGAGCAAATCTCGACTGTATAGTAAACTTATTACCTGAATCTCGAGGACTAGATTGTGGCCTCTAAAAGCGAAGGCAATGATACCAAGTGCGTTTAGGAAAGAAAACAGGGAAGCTGAGAACGAAGGCAAGGGGACAGGGTCATACGAGATGTTGGGTGGCCGTGGTTGGCTAACGGAGAGAACCCAAACCATGGTCGAGTAAAATATCGCAGTCACCGCTCCGATGAGGGAGAGTCCGGCAATGGAGTTCAGGTTTGGGAGCTGAGACAACACGATGCATAATGAAGTGAAAACAAGATACCATTCGATTGTCGTTAAGGGATTTGAAGTACAAAGTGGCCCACAAACAAGCTCGAAGAAGAGTTTCATGGTTTCGCCTCCGATAAGAATCAACGCCGTCGCCGTTCCGGCAGACAAGTAAACCGTCGGAAATAGTGCTAGCCACACCCCAAGCCGTTCCCCTGAACAAAAAAAACATGATACCATGATCAAGATTAAAAAGTGAAGCTTTTTATTAAACTATTTATGAATGTAGATGGGTGTGATATATTTACCAAAAGCTGCTTGAGCAAGCTCCACATATCGGTTGTATCTCTTCCCTGGAACTGCTTCATGAAGCTGTACCAAGATCCACAAAGTGTATAGTTGCCAAAAGTACGCTATAGTTAATGACACAATTCCCCAACTCCTGCATAAACCCATATAATGTGTTCTAAATCCATTGATGGATTATGGATATGGAAAAACCCTTATTATGTTAGAAAGGAGGTTTGTTATTATCTGTTTTGGGAGGGAATATATTGCGATTAGAGACGCCAGACATAAAGACAGTGTGTGTCAGGTGGGACAATAAAAGCTATTGACTAAATGTTTAGATACGAGTTATGAATTTATGATATTTATGAGCAACTGATAAATACTTACCAGCCAAGGAAAGAGAAAGCGACGGGCAAAACCAGAGCCTGAAAGCCGACGCCGGCGTTGAGGTTATGAAAGGCGGCGTAATGAGCGTTGCCATTACGAGATTCGGTTATCGGAAGCCATGCATCTTGTGGGTTTAGTTTAGTCAGATGACCCACTTCCTCCAAATACCCTTTCATGTTTATCAACACCCTCTTCATCGGCGTACCAATCGGACTAAGAAACCTCGGCGTAAACGACGTCGGTGTCCACGCCGTCGACGACTTCCCACCTTCCTTTGACATTGGCCTGGGCGACCTCTGACCGGAGGGTGTGAGTATCTCCGGTGTGGATGCCCGTGGCGTCGCCGGTATCGATATCAGCTCAGTCTCCATTCTCTCTTCCATTGATTCAACAGAAGGAGAAGAAATAAATGAAAATGTAATAATGTCGTGTGACAGAAAGCTGGACGTGAAAAGTATCACTTATAGGAGGGTGTGGGAGTTTGGGACAAAGAGATTGTGGCCGTCGATAATGCTTTCGGTAAATGGATCTCGAGGTAAAAGTGAGAGTGGTCGTCTGATGAGAATCTCTGTGATGATGTGTATGATTTGACTATTTGTGTCATTTCTTAAAAAGGAGAAGTGAGTTTTTACAGTGTAACCCTTCACGTTACTCTTTGTATGCAAATGTGTACTAGTGAAATTTGATTTATTGTCCCTACTTTTTTATTGTGTAGGTGTGAATGGTTGAGTAAAAATAAGTTTTCATAAATTTATAAAAAATGGTTAATATTCTATTATAATTGATACTTATAGGTTTTTTTGGTTTTCACACCTTTTTTTTGGTAATCAATAAGTTTGAAGGTAAACAATTTTTATAATTAAAGTATTTAGTATTTTTTGACAGGTATAACCAATACATATAAATATATCAATTGAAAAAAAATATATATTAGTACCAACAAAATTTTTCAAATGTCATTAAAATATTAGTGTATATATTTTGTTAGGTCATCTCCAGTACATTGAACTCCTAAAAATTCAATGAATTGTCTCATTAGCATTCAATTAATTATATCATTTAACCTATTAAATTCTATATTCCATTAAACTCTTAAGAGTTCAATGGATTTCCACATCACCATTTTAATTTTTTTTATAAATAATATTAATAAATAAAACTAGAATATTACATTAATTAGAAATTCAAAGTTACAATTGCTAAATAATAAATAAGATGTTATCTTTTTAAAATGTTTTTAAGATTTATATATTTTTTAACGTTTAGAATAAAAAAAATATGAAGTAACTTAATAAATTAAATTATTGAATATAAAATAAAATAAGGTATAAATCATAAAAATAATAATATATAGTTTATTGAAAAAAATGTTAAATGTTACTTTCAATATAAGTTTTTATAGTAAATTGAGAAAGAAAAACAAAAAATAATAATAAAGAAAAAATAAGATTTTATAGTAAATTAAAAAAGAGAAACAAAAAAAAGAAAAGAAAAAAGAAAAGCAAATCTTATACCACTGTTGAATGGGGATTAAACCTCTCATTCATTAAACCCATCCCACAATACATATTTCATCCATTTAACTGCTACATCACCACATTTTCCTCATTAAACTCCCCATTAAATCCCCATTGGGGATGGCCATCGCAAAGATAACTCTGTTGGGTTTTGAGCATTCTAACACTCCTATGGTGTACATGCAACCCTATAAACCTTGGATCTATGTTTTCTCTATTATACATGCAAATATTAACTATTCCAAGGTTTCATCCTAACTAGCATATTATGAAGCACCTGTACTACAAAGTTCTAGTTAGATGACATACCTTTTGATGTAGCTTGATGTCTTCAAGCTTTAAGAGCTTAGCCCCAATAGTGTGGAAGCCTCAAATGGAATCACAAATCACCAAAACACCTTGGAAGAACTTGAGAGAATATGTATGCATACTAAAATCGGCCCACTCTTATTTTCACACACTTGTGCCAATTTTGTGAGCCAAGGACCCCTTTATATATTATGGAAGATTAAGGTTACATCCATGCAAACCCTAATACCCATGACCTTTCATTTACATAGGATCCATGGGTTAAAAGCTCCATGGACCATCCATGAAAGCTTAGCCCAACCTAAATGAACTTGGCCCATTCCATATATATAAGAGTCCATATTTAATTAGTTCTTTTTGATCACTTAATTAATTCTAAATTAATTCTTGATCAATACTAATTAAATAATATGATTCCATATTAATATATTAGAACTTATAATATATTAATATAAATCATAAATATACTATTCTCAAAAGACTATCCATATAAATTGTGCCGGTGAAGTGCAACCCAAATGGACCATGCCGGGTCGGGTCAAGTACATACCAAATATAGTTATGGACTTAGACATTAATCCAACAGTCTCCCACTTGGATAAGTCTAAAACTATTATTGAGTATGACTTCAAAACCTAACTGGCAATCGTAGCTCTTAAAGCCGCTGTCGAACTCTGACCTTGTCAATGACTTGTCCATTAGATAAGGGATCATATATTCCTCCATTCTAGATATCATATGGACTGAGACATGGATTATAATCATTCTCTCTGTCCATTTGTTGTTTCCCGATTTTCGATTTATGATGACTGACTGATTGAACAAATCAAATCAGTCCTGGCTTGGCCAAGCACTCACATGTGTCATCGCTAAATCATCGAGGGGCCCACAGATATCGCTTTTATCCCGAAGGTAAAAGGAATGGATAAACTTCGACTCATATGGCTTGTTCTACTACTTGTTGAATCATACACAAAGGCACGTTTTATAACATCGAGTTACCAAATGCGTTTTCGTGCAATCAATGTATAACCAACTCATAGTAACAACTCATATCTCTAGGTTTGAAGAATATAAGATATTATCGTCTCATGATCACTCGTGATAAAATCCATGAAGTGATTCAAATGAGCGCGGGTTGAATCCAATACTCAGAACTTATGAGCACTCATGAGTGTTGTAGCACCACTTTGTCCACCAACTTGGACCTCTACAAACCAACCCATGACAGTCTTGATTCATATCTACTTCCAACATATGACCGACTGTGGATGGTTTGAATAACTTAATCATTCAGGAAGAGCGACTTAGTTATTCTGGAAGTCAAAACATGCAAAGTGAAACACAAGAATAAATGAATCAAATATGGTATCAAACCCTATGAATATAAATAAACACTTTTATTTATCACCATACTGATTACTCATTATTCATTGTTTCGGTTTTATCAACTTTATACTTGAATTAAAAACACTAGTTGTCCCATGCTCCAAGCATGTACACTATGTTTTTCTTAAACAATAGCTTTGCCATACACCAAGTATGCACTCTATGTTTGTCTATGATCCTTACTTTGTGAAATAAACCAATTGAACATAATTTCAATGATTCTAATTTCACACTCCCAAATCCTTATCGAAAAATGTGAGAATTTCAAATTCCTATCATTTATCGAAATCTGTTTAGATTTTAAACTTATATGCACTGACCCTCCTGTAATGAATATGTACAAAGTCACAAAGACTTGTCAACAGTCATTATAAGGTATTCCAATGGAGATCAACTCCATGGAAACTAAGTCTCATATTCAAAGTACATTGCTTTGGACATGCTTCTTGCATTAAGTTTTCTAATCTTACACAGATAACTTCCACCTATGGAGACAACTCCATATTCTCATTTTGACTATCACTTCTGAATAAGAGATGCCTCTTTTCAGAATATGTCAATATGGTCCTTCCAAAATTAGCACTATACTTCCAACTGTCCCTGAGCAACCAATCTTTGGTAAACCTCAGATTGTCCTCGACAATTGCTTAATCATTTTAGTCATATCCAATTCTAGACCTTTTCCCTTCTTAATGCCTCTGGGCATTTGGAAAATTTAGAAATGACAAATATTATAGCACATGCAATCGATCCTGTACCCAAAGCAAATGGTACACGATTCATGATGTCTCACATAAAGACATGATTCTAGACCAGTCTTTTGCTACAATATTTTTATTTGCCATGTTTTCAAAATTTGACTATGAAGAGGGATGCCGTAATCATAATCGAATTTTGAGAACGCAATATATAGAATTTCCTTAAGTTGAACCAATCCAACATGAAATTCATATATATATTCTTGACTAAAGATGATTAAGGTCTCAATCTAAGCCTTTAGAACTGAAATGAAGTATATCCTCTCCCTTAATTATAGCAAAACAACTTTTTCAATCCCTGCAGCCTCACGAATTGAAACTTTTGTTTTCTATAATTAACATTGCTAACTTGCAACACTAACAATAATTATCATGCTCCCACTAACATGATGATTATTAGCATAACACTTATGCTCCCACTAGCTTTGACATGTACTCCGAAATCAGCTGGACTTCTAGAAATCAATACTTTATTGACTTTCTTACCAAAGTTCAGATTTCTGATAGCATGCATGTGTGTCTAAACAATTTCAGAACTATGAAAAAGGATGTCGTAATCATAGTCTCAATTGTTTAGACCTTTTGCCATCTGCTTCAAATCTACTTGGTGGAAGTGTTTCCTCACCATCATTTCATCATGAATCGGAGAGAAACCTTATGACCCTTAGATTTTATGGTGTATGTGTTCTTATCCATGTGAATCGTCAAAACCATAGTCACAAGACAAGGATAATGACAAATCCAAACTCATATGGACTGAACTTATGCAATCTTAACTTCTTGCCACCTGGCAGTACAGGGCCTGCCATTGCTTCCAAGTTGTTATGCAACCAATTGAGAACTTTCAGAACTCCTATGCAAAGCCAACTTTAACTGGAATGGGCACAGAATATGTCAACACGATAGGTTATAAACCTCAACGTGTGCTAGTGAAGAACCTCAGGTTTTATTCTTGATTAGTTCTTGAAATTCTTTTTAGGATCTTTAAGACTCCCACTATCCTCTTGACATATAAGACTATCTTGCCAAATATTCAAGAGATAGTGCGGATTCTTTATCAGACAAACACTTCACACAATTGGCCTTAGTTGGTCTTTTTTTTATCCAAAACATCACAACTTACCAATTTCAAATGTACAAGAGTAGGACACTTTTACTCTTACATTTGACAAGTGTTTTAAACCTTTCTTTAAGATATGTCACTCAAGTTACAATCTTGGAGTATGACTCTAAGAATTGTTTTGGAACGAAGTATGACTCATCTTCCTGATCTAACCATTTCAACAATTCATGACTCCTCTTCTTAGTCATAAGAATGCACTAAGATGACCTTTAGAGGACTAATTGTGATATGATTTCTAAATCATTAAGATGATCACAAACATGATACTAAAGTACTCTCCCATCTTTTCAGATTTGAGAAACTTTTATCTTTCTGCCTAATTTGATTCTT